TGCCCAGTCTCCTGAATGTTACTGACTGTCTCCCAGAGGACTGACTTATGAACATGTACAATTTTTTCGTTCAGTATTTTAAATAAATAAACAATTTTTTAAGACCCCTGGGGCTCCCATCATGGTAAGTAAAAATATATGCTTCAGTACATTTTAACCAAGTGGACAGATTCTGTACATTATTTAGTTCACGGTTGTAGAATAAACAGTCACATGTAAAGGAGATCAGCAAGCAGTGAAAACGCCTTTTGAAAAAAATCGAAATGAATACGGATTGGTCACCCTTTAAGGAGAAAAAATGATTGCCGCTCATAGAAGGAATAATATGCTCGTCGAACAGGACCGGTCTGCATATGGTATTTTATAAGGAATTCAAAATGTAGGCCGTCAAGGCAGAGCTTTCTAAACCGAATGAGGTTATCCGTCCCGAAGTGGCAAGGCAGAGGAACCTAGGCGCGATCGGACACAGTCCGCTTAGAGCTAAGCCGAGGATGGAACATTAAACGTTAAGTCGGTCATCAAAGCGTAGAGAGGAGAATGAGGGCCATAATGTACGAGCTAAAAATCGAAAAAAATCGAAATTTTCGATGAAGGATCCAAGGAGGCGGAGCTATGCACAAGAGAAAAAAATGCAAGTAGATACGGAAATATAGTGGCGGCGTCCCAAATTTCCGATGGCCCTTTCTCAGTGTCATAGGGTGGAGAAAATACAAGTTTAATCGTGTCATTATCTAGGTAAAGGTGCAGCCTTCTCCTAAGAGTATATAGATTATCTCATGATCCTATACTTATTGGAAGGTTATTCCAGAGGAAAGTATAACGGGAAGCGAAAAAAATGAGAGCACGTAGAGGTCGAGGAAGCGGGCAAAGGTATAATCAAGGAAGAAATGCGAAGATTATATGGGCAAGTACCAGGAGTAAGCATTGAAATTCGAGGAAGATTTGAACTTTTATAAATGCGAAAGAGGAGATAGAAACCTGCTTCTAGTCTTCGAACCCATAAAAATTTTAGGTAAGATAGCTGGCATCTATCTGAATACGAAATATTCAGGTGTTCCATACCTAAGAGTCTTCTAAAAAAATGCCTATGAACTTGTTCAGTTTTTGGACGGTTCGCCTCGTTCATTAAACCAACGAATGGAAAAAATACTCGAGCATTGGAAGAACAAACTATCGAGAGTGCATACGCACCGAAAAACAAGAGCCAGCCAATCACTGGAGGCCACATGAGTTTTCTCTATCGTGCTGTCAGCGTAATCGTGGCGCCTCTCCATTGGCTGCTCCCCCCAAGCCTGATCGATCCGTGTATTCGAATTATCGACCAACTCATCTAGAATGTTCTTTCCAAAATGCATCCGGCTGAATGCAGGCGAACCCCAGAGGGATGTTATAAATACGCGCTACTTGCCCAGTTATACTGGACTTGCAGTTTTCTAATGTCCTTTTTCGTGGCCAGTCGTGTTCTGCTTTTCTGCCGAGTTGGTATTGGGGACGAGAGCTAGGTGCGAATACCCTCCACGTGATTTCAAGTACCAGGGGGATCATAACAATTTGATGACGCAGTTTTCAATTACAATGGTTGACGAGTACACCGTCCTGATGCAGATGTTGCAGCAACAGCTGAAGCTGATGGAGTGACCGTTAAGCTATCCACCGCATCCATTGGCCAATCAAGCGTGGCTGGTGGTTTGCATCTGTTGATCACATTGCTGCAGCATCACTGAATTTTTGTGTGACTCGTAGGCCCGCGCACCCTTGACTTTTGGTACAAAGGATACAACGACTTGTTGTCTGTCACTCTGGCTGTCCAGGGCGATGCATGGAAGTTACGACTCCTAACCTGCAAACAGGTTTTTGGCGAGCAGTCATTCCTGTCCGACGCTCGATTTCAGTAAACGAGATTCTGACGATTTCATCACGTATGCGAGCATTGTCAGTCGTAAAAGTGGGCGTTTTCAAGTCGACTCTCTCACTGTATACCAGTTTAAATGCCTCATATTTGTCTGCGGCCTCCACCCCTAAGGATGCTGACATCCGGACACGTCTCCTGCTCACAGTGAATCAGAACAACTCAGTCATATTCCAAAAGTTGGTGGCGGAACGTTAATTGCTAATTAACTTCAAGCCCGACTCCACAATGATCCAGAGCCCTGCCTTATCCTGCCCAGTTCATACGGTTTCTGCGGCCAAATCGCATTCCTTTACGCGGCGTTGTGGCCAGTGGCATTTTCATCGGGATTGCACTTTCCGCTAGCACAGCTGTCAAAACTGTAATTATATGCGACACCATGATGGGTTCTTGTTGGGAGTGGCTACACTCCCAAAAACAAGAGCCAGTCAATCACTGGAGAATACGTGCGTTTTCTCTACTGCGCTGTCATCATAATCGTGGCGCCTCTCCATTGGCTTTTCCCCTCGGGCCTAATCAATCTGCATATTCGAATTATCGACCGGCTCGTCTGGGATGTTCTTTCCGAAGGTCATTGGGCCGACTGCCGGCGAACCACAGTAGGTCGTTTTAAATATGCGTTACATCCAGTTAATATTGACTTGCGATTTCCTAAGACCCATTTTCGTGGCCGGTCGCGTTCCCCTTCTCCGTCGCGTTGGTATTAGGGAAAAGGGTCGAGTGCATATACGCTCCACGGGATTTCAAGTATCAGGCCGGGTCATAACACATTGGTGACGCATTTTTTCAACTACTATGGCTGACGAGTACGCCGACTTGAGGCAAATGTTGCAGCGGCAACTGAAGCTGATGGAGACTCTAACCGTCAAGCTATCCAATCCATCCATGGGCTAATCAAGCGCAGGTGGTGGTTCACATTCTGTAGATCACATTGCCGGCGGCATCACTGAATTCTTTTATGATCCACAGGCCCATATCACTTTCGATTCCTGGTACAAACGATACGAGGACTTGTTCTCTGTCGACCTGGCTGCCCAGCACGATGCATGAAAGGTTCGACTTCTACTTCGCAAACTGGGTCCGGCTGAACACGAGCGTTATGCCAACTTCATCCTCCCACAAAATCCCCGAGAAGTCATTTTCCTGGACACGGTTCCGACGTTGTCGCAGATTTTTGGTGAGCAATCATCCCTTTTCAACCCTCGATTTCAGTGCCTTCAACTGTGCAGACGAGATTCCGATGATTTCATCACGTATGAGGAAATTGCCAATCGTGAGTGTGGTCGTTTCCAACTCGGTTCTTCCACCGAAGACCAGTTTAAATGCCTTATGTTTATCTGCGGCCTCCAGTCCTCCAACGATGCTGATATCCGGACACGTCTCCTGTCCAAAGAGCACCAAAACAACTCATTCACGCTCCAAGAGCTGGCAGCAGAGTGTCAAACGCTGATCAGTCTCTAGCACGACTCCACAGTGATTCAGAAACCTGCCTCATCTTTCTCAGTCCATACGGTCACATCGACCAGATCGCATCCTTTTACACGGTCCAAGCAAATGTCCAAGTCGAGATCTCCGCCATCTCCTTGTCGGCACTGCGGCGCGTGTCATTTCCACCGCGATTGCACGTTCCGCCAGCATCGTCGCCAAAGCTGTAATCAGATGGGACACCGCGATGAGTTCTGCAGATCGAACCAGCTTCTGGAAGCAAGCCAGCCCTTCCCCCATTGCTAATTCCAGGCACCGTTTCCGGCCAAAACGCAAGTCCAAATATCAGTCCGTTGGTAATTCTCTCAGTCTCTTGGCTGCTTTCCAGCTCGATGCGTCTGGTCGTAGAAAATTTGTCGCCGATTCGCTCAATGGCCATGCAGTCCGCCTACAGTTGGATACTGCCTCAGATATCGCCATTATCTCTGAGAGACTCTGGCAGTCCCTTGGCCACGATGCAGCAGATTTCCCAGTCCGCCACAAGCGCGTGCGGTGGCCTCGTACAGCTAATTGAGCAACTGCAATACTGTGTGACGTTCCGCGGTACAGATCATTGTGATCTGCTACATCACCAAGTCTGACCTCAACCTAATTGGTATCGACTGGATTGAACAACTTGGGTTGGCCGATATGCCGCTCCGCGTTGTTTGCAGTCGGGTGCAGATTTCCGCTGTGCTTGCAGACCAAGCCAAAGACACTCTCCAACGGATTGCTCCAGTGTTCCTAGAAAACCTAGTTCGTTGCACATACACTCAAGCCGTGCTACATCTGTCTCCTGGAAATCAGCCAGTCGACCAGTCCCATATGCAGACCTACCACTTGTCGACGCTGAAGTAAAGCGTCTGGAGGAACTGAGAGTTCTAGTTCCGGTATCCTACTCCGCCTGGACCGCTTCAGTCGTTGTGGATAAGAAGTCCAATGGCTCGATTCGCATTTGTGATGACTTCTCCACCGGTCTGAATGCCACGCTGACGCAGAACTGTTATCCACTGCCGGTTCCGACCGATCTTTTCGTCCTGTTGAATGGTGGCACTTGCTTTGCCAATTCGGACCTCACTGATGCGTATTTGCAGATCGAGGTCACCCCAGAGTCGCGCGAATTGTTGACCATCAACACCCACCGTGGTCTGTTCCAATATGCCAGGCTGCCCTTTAGTGTCAAGACCGCCCCGGCTCTATCCCAACAAACGATGAACGCAATGCAATCCGGCATCACTGGCACAGCTGGGTGCCTCGACGACATCATCATCGTGGGTCGCTCCCCTGTCGAGCTGCATGACCGAGTGTGCGCAGTACTCGAACGCGTGCAGGAATATGACCTCCACCTGCTTGTCGACAAATGACAATTCTTCCTCGAGTCCAAGTACCTCGGATTCGTATTTGACGTCATCGGTCGCCATACAAAATCTGAAAACATTTGGGCCATCCAACGGATGCCCGCACCCAAGAATGTGTCGCAACTTCGTTCCTTGGCCTGATCAGCTACTATGGCGCCTTCCTACCATCGCTGCATGACATACGGACCCCACTCAACCGTCTGTTGCAGAAGGATGCTCCCTGACGCTGGTGCCCCGACTGCGAAAAGGCCATCTCCCAACTAAAGTCGATGCTGAGTTCAGATCTGCTGCTCAGGCACTACGACCCTACGCTGCCGATCGTTGTTGCTGCAGATGCCTTCAACCATGGAGTTGGTGCCGTCATTTCACATACCTTTCCTGACGGCTCAAAAAAGGCGATCATGCATGCCTCCCGCACGTTAACTTCTGCAGAGAAGAACTGCGGGCAGATAGAGAAAGAGGCTCTGGCCCTCGTGTTTGCTGTCAAGAAGTTCCACAGACTCCTGTACGGTCGTCACTTCACGTTGTTGACGGATAACAAACCATTGCTGTCAATCTTCGGTTCGAAGAAGGGCATTCCGGTCTATTTACCTAGTCGACTTCGGCGATGCGCAACCATCCTTCTTGGATACGATTTCGACATTCGTTACTGCTGCACTACAGACTTTGGTCAGGTTGAGTCCCCTTCACGCCTCATCCGAAATCATCGGGAACCCGAAGAAGACACCGTGATCGTCGCTATTTCGATTGAGGACGATGTGCGCCGTCAGCTATCAGACGCCATACGAGGTATCCCGGTCACTGCCGCGGACATCCGATGTGCTACCGAACAGGATCCTATCCTCAGTCAGGCCATCACTTACGTGCAGACCTGCTGGCCACTCACTGCTCTCGCTGGCGATATTCATTAACTCTTCCTCCGCCGAACATCGCTATCTGTAGTTGAATCCTGCCACACTTTTACGGATCGTGTGGTGGTCCCATCTTCATTGCCACCCGCGATACTCTGGCAGCTACCGGAGAGGCCTTGGTCAAGCGTGCATATCGACTTCGCTGGCCCGCTTAACGGAGTCTCCTACCTAATCTTGGTTGACGCCTACTCGAAGTGTCCCGGGATTGCTCCGCTGAATCGAGCGAACGCGTCTGCCACTATCGCCTTCCTACGACGCACCTTTGCCGGTGTTGCATACCGGAAGTACTGGTTTCAGATAATGGCTCTCATTTGACTTCGTTGACGTATGAGGACTTCTGCTGTCAGCACAACATCCAGCATCTTCACTCCCCGCCCTACCATCCTCAGTCTAACGGTCAGACAGAGCGCTTTGTCGACACGCTAAAGAGAGCTCTCTTGAAAGCTCGTGTGGTAGGGTGCACGGACGAGATAGTCCAAGCGCCCCTGTTTTCCTTTTGGACGACACCGAACGCGGCATCCCCTGGTGGCGTTTCTCCTGCCGAATCGTTGATGGGTCGAACACTGCGTACAACTCATTCCTACCGGTGTCCAGCCCATACAGACATTTCCAGTCTCTCACAGCAAGCTTTCTGTCGGAACACCTGTCCTCGTTCGTGATTATCGAACTGGGTTACCAGATTGCATTGAAGCAACCGTAGTGGCGTAAAGAGGCAGTATGTTGTCTGACGTCGACGTTGGTGATGACATCTGGGTTTATCACCATAATCAGATCCGACGGCGACATTGCAGTAACACAGCTGGGCTCGAGTAGGTGCCGTCACTCTTCCTCGACATCCTACTGGACACCTTCGCTATTCCAGCAGATCGGTCGGTTCCCGAAACCGCTGCTGCGCCCCCTTCGGATGGACCGCCTTCGGAATCAACAACTGCCCCGTGTTTGCAGTCAGCAAGCCACAACAAAGATACCGGACCAGGCGCGTGCGCCGATCAACACGCCCGATGTAGGTTAATCCACGCCAAAAGCGGCACTGACATATTTGAAGGGGAGGTGTAGGGAGTGCATAACCTCCGAAAAACAAGAGCCAGCCAATCACTGGAGGCCACGTGAGTTTTCTCTATCGCGCTGTCAGCATAATCGTGGCGCCTCTCCATTGGCTGCTCCCCCCAAGCCTGATCGATCCGTGTATTCGAATTATCGACCAACTCATCTAGAATGTTCTTTCCAAAATGCATCCGACTGAGTGCAGGCGAACCCCAGAGGGATGTTATAAATACGCGCTACTTGCCCAGTTATACTGGACTTGCAGTTTTCTAATGCCCCTTTTCGTGGCCAGTCCTGCTCTCCTTCTCTGCCGTGTTGGTATTGGGGACGAGAGCTAGGTGCGAATACCCTCCACGTGATTTCAACTACCAGGCCGTGTCATAACACAAACAGTGGATGGTTTTAATTTATTTTCAGAAAGATAGAAATTGTAATAAATAAAGCCACGATTTTAAAATTGTTCTCGTCCAGGTTATCTCGTCTGAGGATTTTAACTTTCAGCTTTTTTCGGTATCTGTGTTTATTCATCTTTCCGCATGACAGGTTTTAGCAGCCGGTAGTGCTTAAGTGTCAAATCTTGTTAAAACGAATTGTAAAAAAATGTGATTTCTAAAAATTATCGACTTAAATTGGTAAACTCCTTTAAGTTCTGCACTGCCATTTCGTTTTTGCTGCATTCGGGAAGATACACATGGATTTGCAGTGCTATTATTTGTATTAGATTCGTAAGCTCAAGCCGGCGTTCCAAAATTACGGAAGAGCTGTTTTAATAGTGAATATTTTTTTGTTCGTGTACAGCTATTTCTAACCAGCTGACATGTAATCAATAGGGTTTTCAAAGGCTTTGCCTATTATCCTTACCAAATAAACTGAAGCTCCAGTTTTCTTTCTATTGTCCAAATGACAGTGCATTTTTTTCATATCGGGTGCCGTTAGCACATTCAGGCATGCCCTTTGCGAAAATAAGGTTATTGTGTTCTACACAAAGGTCCTTTGACTTATTTTTTGTGCAACGTCTACCATACTGCTATTCCAGTTTTTATCCATTTTCTGTTTTAGGAAGTTAGTTATGATATGGTTAACGTACGGTTCCGCACTGATAAGGGCCTCTTTGCCCTTTTAAACGTTCTTCGACATAGCAATATTTTCTCGCATTCAGCTTAGACTGCGCTGTCTACACTTGTGTGGGTCCGCTCTCGCGGCCGCCAGCGCGGTCGCATACCTTTGTGTCAGACTGTCATAGGCTCGCGGACACCGTGGCGTCAATCGATATTTCTGTCTACAACGACTGACCACAGCAAGAAAAGCCTCACGCGCATTAAACTTAGCCGTAACTTGTCCTGTGTTACGCCGAGCTGCGTGTGCGGCAACTTGCCTCCGTCAAGCTTCCAAATCCACGACTTGCCCTCGGGCTGACAACCGTCGTTCCTCGGCGCAACAACCTCCCCGACCTGCTTTTTCTTTTTGGGCTATTATGGGTCGTTTTTCATCTCGCTTTTTCAATGGAGCAAGAATCTGGGTGACTTCGAGCTCCCTGTACGATGTGTCACATATCCTAATGTTTGATGCGTCTGCTTTTACAGATTGTATATGTCCCCTGAATACGGGTGTCACCGACTTCATTGTCTCGTGTCCACATCGAGAGAATTTTTGAAACTCCCAGTCCTTATTTCCAGACCTCTGATCTCCTTATTTTCCGAGGTTCGATACCAGTGGGATGAATAGTGTTCTACCCTCCAAACTCGTCAATTTCTGTCAATCAGTTAATTTCCGGCGCGTAGATCAGGCGGCGTTAAAGATTCACTGCTACAGCTGATTAACATATACTGCAGTATAGATGAGTGTTAAAAAATTATTTTTTTTGCGGTTAACCTCCGTGAGTGAATCTCTACGAGATATAAGACGGCAAAAGTCGATTAGCTATATTTTACTCTGACCGGATTATTGCCTTGGCGAACGCGCGTAAAGACAGGACAGGTGCGTCTCTGGTAGGAGTCCACAGTTGTCTACATAAATGCTTCTGCTCAGGCTGCAAATGAACGAAGGAAGGTACGAGGTAAGGGGACGAAGAGGCGTTAGTGAATACTTCTGTAGTGGACGTCCGCATTGAGCCTGTTGTAACGCTGCACCTCCCGAGGGTAATTGTGCGTTAGCGACAATAAAAGATATGTTTTGGTCCGTTCACAATTTCCCAACCGTCCAGCCATCCTTAATGCTTCACCACATGTCATGCCTAGAGCGTCGCGACGCGTAACGCGCTCTGACGCGGGGCGCCGCTGTCCCGGAGTCGGTCGTATTCCTGTTCGTCCATCAACTCCACCCAACCCCTTCTCTTTACAAAATACACGATTCTTGTAATTGCGTTCAATACAAATTTCTCTCTGGGGATGGGTCTGATGTTCATAATCGCGGCGGTCTCTCAATGGCTAAAGCTGCTGCGACATTTTCGGACTCGTTTAGGTTTTAGTTGCTTTCGTTGTCAAAAACATTCCCCGACATAGAGTTCTGAAGTTTCGCATGAAAAATGGAGTTTATTAATAGAAAATCTTTGGCGTTCCGTAGGTGGCCTTGGATAGCACCATATTCTTGTAGTTATGTCCTTAAGCATCAAGCTCAGAAGGTTATTTAAGGGTTTAATGTTAGGGTATTAATGCCTTAAAAATGTAAGATGTTAGACATCAATCTACCTGCACGGATACTGTTTTCGCGCCTATACCTTAAAACCAGCATTTCTGTTAGAACTGTGGTAAAATTGTTTTAATGCTATCTCGGATTGACCGGTTAACCAAAGATAATATTTGGTTGGTTTTCTGACTGCTTATGTATTATCGTTGTTAGTCTTTCCCGGTGTAGTTCACAGAACCTCGTCACATGAGCAGGTGGGAGGTTTGCCCATCTGGCTTCGTCGTACGCTATACTTAAATATTTATCCGATTCCCTAGAATTCGTCTTTATTTTGGCAACCGGTTCCAACGTTTACCCCCTGCTTTCAATGGACAGTCTTCTGTCTGCCGTCAGCTGCCTTAATAATATTATCACCAATTTTATTCTCCTCAGCTAAACGTTGTCACTGTCCCGTATGGCGCACAGTAAATTTTCCGAAGTACTTATTCGAACGGGTTGGCGTTTCTTGAATTTTTTAATAACATCTTCCGTTGTAGGTATTAATTGTGTGTTTGTTCGTCTTGAGCACCGTTGACATAATTGTGAAAATAATTGAAGATCTCGAGGAACCCCAATTTCGAGACTTATTGGCCTATCTGTCATCGGCAGTAATCATGACTTCGCTGGTTCGTTAACCCTTTGCATACCTCTTATAAACGAACCTACTTTTGTATTTCATTATCCTTTCGGGAGGCAAACGAATGAATCTATTCATTCATTATGATCGACTTCAGAAACTGCATTCACTTTTACTTCATTCGTGCTAACCCACTCAACTCCAGATATGACGGTCAATATTCGTACATTGACCTTTGATTTCTTGTGATCCTGTCAATTTTTCTGTTGACGAAGTTCTCTTAGAGAGAAAGACATTATTCTTTAGCCATCTTAAGGGCGGCGTCAGAAGAGAGCTTAATTATTAGTAAATCACGTGTATGGGTAGTGGTTATCAAACGTACACGTCCGAGTTACATCAGTTTGTATAGTGTGTTAACTGATAAAGCACTTCCCAATTAACATATGTGATTAGTTTTCCGGCTTAATGATCGATCACTGTTTTTTGTGGCGAAAGTTTAGGTCATCTTAGAGATTTAAAATTAATCCCGATTAGTTAATTTTGAAGTGGTACTATTGTGCAAAATCACGTCAAATTGTCTTTTATTATTATTTCACATTCAAAGCTGTCGGCAACAGGAGTTTGTAGCCTTAAGAGCCTTTTCTTGACGCAATTCTGGTGTTTTTGAACTCCTCCACGCGGCCACCCGTCAGAAGTTTTTTTGCACAATTGGATT